TTTTTTTTATTTTTTTTAGCTTTTAATTATGTATTAACTATTTTTTAACTTTTAATTAATACTTTTTTTAATTTTTAGATCTTCATCCAGCATTTTGTGTTCTCATTTATATTACTTTTTAAACTTCATTAAATTATTTTAATATTATTATTTTTAAGGTTAATTTTATTTTTTAGATTTTCAACTGAAACAGAAACTAATATTTTTTTATAACTTTTCAGTATCGTTTATCTTCTATATTCATGTATACATACATGTATATATAAATACTTTTTTTTTAATATGATTTTCGAAGAGGAACTGGGCCCAACACAAAATTCTGTTTAATTTGATCTTACAACTACTTATCAATTACTTTCTTAAACCAACTTAAAACTACCCATAGAAATTTATAACACTAAACACTTTTTTATTGTTAGTATTGTATTTTTACATTTACAATAATTTATAAGTAATAATTTTTGCTACTTAATTGTAAAACTATGAATAGTTTTATTAGAATTTTGTAATTCTGCCGTCGACTGTGTACCCAGAATTGCATTTAGCTGTATTAGATCATATTTTGTATATAACACAGTAATGCTCGTCGAATCGTCTAAGCCATCTGCCGCATTCTGATTGSTTTCATTCATCATATTGACCATCTCTGAATACAACTGCGGCCACATTGGCGGCTGATACATAATCAAATGGCGTATACCCTTTATACGTGTACGCTGATAGAAGTGATATCGTTCCGAGTAAAGTAAAAAGTGCACACCGCTGTGATAGAACATGTCTCGCGCACGCGCCACCTTCTCCTTTTTGGTGTATTCACAAATTTGCGCAAAACTTATAGATTCGGCTTTCAAATAGTTACGTAAACGTACATAATCAAAGTAACTCGGTACATATATCATACAATGCGCAAAGGAAGGCTTTCTATAACGAGGTAGTATTTCTTTGATGAAGTATCGGAAGCGTGTGTCGAAAACCGAGTCCAAGTTTGTGGTGTCTATTAAATTAAATATTTGCGGTGTGGTAACAAAGAYGTTGCTTATGTCACCTTGCCGAATCGGATTCGAAATAGACACTTTACCACAGTAGTTGAAGCATTTATTGAAGAAAAGTGAACGTATTTCGGGCAGTTCATGCGAGGAGAGCACCACTGTTTGCCGATAAAAACGACATAACCCATTCAAACACCATGGGCGTACACGTTGTAAATTAACATTACTTAAAGATTGTGGCTGCAGGTGCAAGTGATCTATTACATGCAATAGATTTTCCCAATTCTGTGCTAAAAACATTTCCGCCTTGTCCAATATCAGAAGTTCGATCGAATTTAAAAAATCAAAAGCGCCTGTCTCTTTGCTATTTGATGCTATGCCCAAACGTAGACCCAATGGCGATGCAATAATAATATCGGATGCATTGAAGTCCGTGTAAAGTTTTAAGTTCTTCTTGGTTAGAGAAATACCAATTTTAAAATTGTCATCTATATTGCCTTTAAACGTTTCTATGTAGTCTTCCGGTTTCGGTTTGTTTTGTGGGAAACGCAAGCTGTCACCCGTATATTCGTCAGTGAAACGCGAGAAGTTCATTAATTTTGTTTCTAAAAAGGGAAAAAATTTGATGGAATTATAATTTTAGTTATATTACTTATTTACACACCCAAATTTTTGCCGTACAATAGCCGGCCCATATTTGTTACAATTTGATAGGCACATTTCCTGAATGGCAAAATGACAAGTACTTTGGGTCGCGCCAATCCTTGATCTCGATAACTGTCCGGTATGGTCACTATATTTGGTGTGGCTGCCAATTTCATATTATGTTTCAGTATGCGATTACGAGTTTTTAGCATATGATTCAAAATGTGCGCACTGTAACATAAACGTAATTCATCTATCTTGTCCTTCTGCACATTGGGATGACAGAAATCATTATAGTGATTGAGTATTTGAAAAACTTCTGCTTGCAAGGATGTGATTTCTTTTGTAAAGTTGTCTAATATAGCTGTTCTAATATTCATTGTATGCAAATGTTCGGTGCCAAGTAGTTTGTAATTGGTATTCCAATTAAGTTCACTTTTAGGTAGTTCCTCACATACAAACTGTGGTATTTGCATTTTGATTGAACCCAAATGTGGCCAAGTAAGTACGCTTCTCTTAACTTCAGTCTGTGCTGTCCATAAGTTATCCACACTTTCAAGTGGCAAATCGAAATCAAAATGCTGCGCAAATGTGTCATTGGATTCTACTGCTTCTAATTCCTCAACTTCCGGTGCAGCTTCTTCAACCACATCTTCCTCAGCACGCTTCGCTTCAGGAGAAACTGATAGCTCATCACCCGTATCGTCATCAAGGGAATCGTCCGCGCAGGTATTATCTTGTTTAGTTTAGTATATTATGATAACTCTAGTTTTAAAATTGATGTACTTTAATGCTTACCTTTTGCGGAGAGGGTATCCATTAGTTCGTTGAAGGTATTTAGTTCGGCATTATCATCTTCCTCATTCTTTATGAATTCAAATATTTTGCCTTCGGCTTCATCTATTTTGATTTCCTCCTTCTCTCTGTAAGATTTTTCCAAGAGTGCCTGTTTCCGGTGTTGTTCCATCATTTCCTTCGCTTTTCGTTTAAATTTAAGATTTTTAGTTGTTTTATTTAGGTGAGGATTACGCTCCGCTGTTTTTGGTTTTTTCTTCGCCCCCATATTGCTCAACAATGTTTTGAAATTCTATATAAATATAAAATATCAAAATACGCGTGAGGTTGTATGGTGCACAAATTTTGTTTTTATTTCAACCACGCTTTTTCTGAAGTGTTGCCGTATTAATAGATTTCTTCTTATATTCTTAAAAATATTTTTTTTTTTTTTTTTCGTTGTCACAATAATAACAAAATAATAAATACATAACACATTCCCTAGTGTATACATTTATGTTTTTGCACTATAACATTGTGTAAATTATTATTTTAAATTTCATGTATATACATATGTTAAATTTAATCAAATCCATGGCAATGTTATTAAAATTACATACAATGTACACCCTGTGTTGATTTCACCATTCAAGTTGAAACATTGCCAACAAATTCGCAAGTATTTACAATTTTTCTCCGGCGGACAAACAACACATACGAAAAATATGGCACAAAGATCAATTACGTTAGTTACAAATACCTTGAAGGATTCCTTGGTGAAAATTAATAGCACAAATACATTTGTTTTTAGGTCATTCTTTAAACCAGCAGCTAGTGCGAACACTGCGGAAGTATCAAGCGCGAAACGCAGCAGGTGAGGAACACAAAGCGCGCTAAAGGTTTATTTGTATATTAATTTAGAAGCATTTACTTTAAGGCAGGAAAGTCCTCAGTCGAATGGAAAGATTGGAGAACCGGAGAAGAAAATTCAGAGAAAATCTGAAGAAGCGGACAAAAGAGACGCAAAGCAAAATGTACAGACCAATGATAAAAATAAAGATACAAAGAAAGCATCACCGAAGGCGTCAAAAAAGTCACCAAAAAACAAGAATACATCCAGTCCTTTTAAAAAGCAAATAAATGATATCAAAAAAGAGATCACAAATGAAAAGGAAACCCTAGACAACAAGCTTAATATTACGTTCAGTCCATTCAAAAAGCATATAATTGATGTCGAAAAAGATATCCCAAATGAAAAGGAAAATGAAAAGTCAGACAGCAAACCTGCGGAAGTAAAGTCTGAATCAAAATCAAGTAAAGAGGATGATGCTTCGAAACAAAACTCAGGTAAAGATTATAGTGCGAATGTTAAAAAACTGTCAGTGGAAGCCAATCAGTGTGGTGCCGAATACAATCCAGCTTCTGCGAGATATCATCCCATAAAAGATGCGTATTGGAAAGCGAAACAAAGGCAAGGCAATATTTTTTTTTATTGTAAATATTTTTATAAATGTATTTTTTTTCGGGAGCAGCACACCATATTTGGCTTTAGCAAGAACTTTTGAAATGATCGAGGATACTAAGGGACGCTATAAGATGGTAGAAATACTAGCAAATTTCTTAAGCTCTGTATTATTATTAAACCCAGATGATTTATTATCATGTATTTATTTAAGTATAAATCAATTGGCACCGGCATATGAAGGTAAAGTAAGAAATATTATGTTTTTGAACTAAATAAAATAAAATTAATTTGCAGGCGTAGAGCTTGGTGTAGCGGAAACCACGTTGATGAAAGTCATAGCTGTCTCTACTGGACGTGAACTGAAATTTATTAAAACACAAACGCAGGAAATTGGTGACTTAGGTATCGTTGCTGAGCGTTCAAGAGTTTCACAGCGTATGATGTTTACGCCGAAACCACTCACCGTACAAACTGTCTATCAAAAATTGAGAACAATAGCAAAAAGTTCGGGAAAGGCGAAATCGCCWATTATTCATGACCTCTTTGTGGCATCGCGTTACTCCGAAGCTAGATATATCATACGTTCACTGATTGGCAAGATGCGTATAGGAATTGCGGAAAAAAGTTTATTTCAGGCTTTAGCCACAGCGTTAGTGTGCAGTAGACCCTATGATGATAGCTATAAGAAGGAAAAGCAATCTGAAGCTGATATAAAAAAGGATATTGAGGATATAACATTTCTACTTAAAACAGCTTATTGGTAAAGGCATCTATTCATAAGTAGAATCGCATTTTTAAACTTAAAAAATTTTTTTTTTTAACAATAATTTCAGTCAATGTCCAAACTTCGATAAAATCGTATCGACTTTACTTACACACGGCATTGATGATTTACTAAAATATTGCACCATGGAACCCGGTGTGCCATTGAAACCTATGTTGGCACATCCAACACGTGGTGTATCCGAGGTGATGGATCGTTTGAAGGGCAACATCACGTGCGAATGGAAATACGATGGCGAACGTGCGCAAATTCATGGCGACAACAATGGCACCGTTAATATATATTCACGTAATCAAGAGAATAACACAACCAAATACCCGGATATAATAAATCGTATCGATCACTTCAAAAAGGACACGGTACAATCGTTTATAGTGGACAGCGAAGTGGTAGCTTGGGATATTGAGCAAAAACAAATTCTACCCTTCCAAGTGCTTAGCACCCGGAAAAGAAAGAATGTAGATGTAGAGGAGATTAAAGTGCAAGTCTGCGTATACGCATTCGATCTATTGTATCTGAATGGCGTGGCGTTGACMTCGAAGAATTTCGAGGACAGAAGGCAATTGCTGCGAGATAATTTCAATGAAGTTGAGGGTGAATTTCAATTTGCCACATCATGTGACACCAATGATCCGGACGACATACAAGGCTTCTTGGAAAATTCTATTAAAGGTTGGTATGCAATTTGTTTGCGCATATAAATACATTTCTAATAAGTATAATGATTCTAGGTAATTGTGAGGGTTTGATGATCAAGTCGCTGGATAACGATGCAACCTATGAAATTGCGAAACGTTCACACAAGTGGTTGAAACTGAAAAAGGATTATCTGACTGGTGTAGGCGATTCCTTAGATTTGGTAGTTATTGGCGGTTACATGGGCAAAGGCAAACGCACTGGGGTGTTTGGTGGATTCTTACTTGCTTGCTACGACGACGAAAATGAGGAATATCAAAGTATATGCAAAATAGGCACAGGTAAGCAAATTGAAAAGAAATTTAAATGGCATCAATTAAATTGTACATTTGTCAGGTCTGAACGATGAGGATTTGAGCACACATGCAAAATTCTTCAAAGAACACACAATACCAGCACCGAAATCATATTACCGATTTGATGCCAGCTTGGCGCCCGACACTTGGTTTGAGGCCGTACAAGTGTGGGAGATCAAATGTGCGGATCTTTCCTTGAGTCCAGTGCATAAAGCTGCAATCGGTATTATTGATCCTGAAAAGGGCATATCACTAAGATTTCCACGTTTTATACGTATACGTGACGATAAATCTACGGAGGATGCAACAGGCGCACAACAAGTCGCTTATATGTATCGCAATCAAGATCAAGTTAAGAATCAAAAAACCAATGCTGCAGAGTTTGATGATGATTTCTACTAATTATATATACATAAGAAATATACTTATTGTTTAGGCTAGCTCTATATGATACCCAATGTTTGTAGCAAGTCAAGAAAATTGTTGAGCAAAGTAACTAAGCACATATGGATTAGTACGTGGATAGCAGAATACATGTTGATTATATACACAGTTACCGTGGAGCAGGGTATGTTTATCATGCGCAGTAATTTTTTTGTTTGAAATCAAAATTATTTAAAATTTTAAGTTTCTGTTTACATTGCTGTTTTTCCTTCATTTTAGTTATCTAGAAATATTTGTACAAATGTTGTTAGTACCCAAAAATGTTAAATTTTGCTTTTATAAAAAAATTTCAAAATAGAAATTTGCATAGCCGATGTTTCAATCTATCTGCACACAAAATGTCATACGTATATCACTAAAATTAAACGAGTTATATTAAAATTTGTTCATAAGATTAAAAATATATGTATAACTTCCAAACTCACTTGTTTTTTAAGAAAATTTTATAAAACAACGCTGACAACTGAAACAAAACAACATTCAAGCCGTCATTCCAAAAATAAATGACAGGAGACTCAATAAACAGAAATTACTGTTATTAAGCAACGTTGCATGGTGACTTTTGGKCTTTATTTGTCCCTATTATTTCTGCCACCAGTATATATGCCGCTTGAAGTGATTTCCGGCCCAGAAGCGCAGTAAATGGCAATTTTCTGTGTCTAGTGCGTTTGAATTGCAACTAGTACGCTTTTATTCCAATTTCTGTGCAAGTAACTGGCGGTGAAGCCAATAGRCATGCGCAAATATTCCATTTTTAAATATTTTGCAGGAGTATTAAGCCGTTCAACCATAACTTGTACGCTTTGKACACTTGTTTTTAACAAATCCAAGCTTTATTTTCTATTTTATCTATCTATACCGAAATASGAATGCAAAAATAGCTGGTAGTGAAACGGAAATGAAAAAGGCAAAAAAAAAAAGCGTGGGTTTTTTGATAATTTTTTTTTTAATTGTCACTTTTTTTTTTATTTACTTTTTGTTCCTTTTTAGTGTTTTTTTACGCATCCAATTCATTGGTTTTTATTAATTTGCTCGTTCATTTGTGTATTTATTTACTTTTCCTCTTTTTTTTGTATTTGTTTTCTTTACATATACATATATATAGTTTTGATTATTTCATATATTTTCTTTTTTTTATCATATCCCCCGGAGCATATTACTATTATACAAGTACAACTTTTCATGCAGTGATATGCATTGTCATACATACATACACATAACATACCAATATTGTAGTTTTTATTATTACATTTTTACTTAACTTTAAGCGAAACATATGTTTGAATTTTATAAATTACCTGATACATTAAACATTGCTCCAACTCCAAAAGCCGGACTCGAACCTTCGACCTCTGTAACACCAAGCTGTAAACCTTACCATTACACCACCATCGCTTTGTGCTGAAGTAATGACTTTTTCATATAAGTACTGCATGTCCTGTTAATACAACAGAGTGCTGTAATGTAAATGCAACAGGATTTGCAGTGAACTCACTACCATCACACTAGCAATGTTAAGGTGCCTGTTTCACATAAGCACTACATGTCCTGTTAATACAACAGAGTGCTGTAATGTAAATGCAACAGCATTTGCAGTGAACTCACTACCATTACAGTAGAATCATGAATATTTTTTGTTTTTATAATAATTTTATAATAAAATTAAATACATAAATTT